ATAGCAAACTGTATTTCTTCTGCTTCCAAGCAAAGAGTCACATTTTGGAGCAGCAAAGAGTATTAACTAGTTTGGATAGCCTGTGGCTTCCCATAGGGAAAGTTGAGATACTCATGAGTCTGTACTCCATACTCCAAGGTACATAAAACTTTGGTACTAGAAACTGTTAACATTGAAGGGACATAGATTCAGAGGCCTGGCTCTGCAATAAAATCTGAAGATGGCAAAGGAAGCATTCTGAGCATTATTCCGTACATATGACAGCTGCACATGCCATGATCTTGAGGCACGAAAATCACTTCCAGATATTCCAGTAGAAGATTCCACTTGCTTTATCATCTGTCCATTAATTTGCTACCTGTGTCTAGTCAGCCATCTGGCAAGCACTTTAACCTTAGTTTTATCTTCTGTTTTGTAGGAAATTAATAATTAACATTTTACTGTGAAGGCCCCTGCAGTGAACTCTATTACTAGAGTAAATAGATGTAAAGGGGGGGGCTCTGTTTTGTGCTATAATAGTTTATATAACATAATTCCTCTCTACTCTGGATCACTTGTTGAAATTTAGTAGATTTTCTAGGTCTGATTAGGGAGATACTTTGGGAAGCTCAAATGTAGCATTTTGAGTCAGTTCAACATTTTCTACTTCAGTGACAGACAACCTGGTGCCTGCAATGAACCTGCAAGGTAAAAATTGTATAAGGCAAACAAATTAGAATAAATTGTTTGTGTTATAAATAAATAAAATGACACGAGGCAAGGCGAAGGGAGCAAATGAAGGGTGATGCTGTAAGTATGATTTAGTATTGGAAATAATAAGATAGATCGGTCATTCACAGGCAGAAAATATAACCCTTGAAATATAATCCCAAGAATTAGAAAATATAATTTGAAGAGTTATTAAAGAATGAGCACTCCTATTTATTCAAATTAAGCAGGAAATAAAGGAAAATTACATTGGCAGTTGATGCTGCCAATGTAACACAGTGTTAAGTTAAGAAAGAAGGGGGCTGAAAAGTGTCAAATAGCAGAGGCTTTCTCAGAGCTGAAATTTGAAATTCTTCTTACTTGAGATTTCAGAAGCTAAATCAAAGAAGCTGTGCAGTATCAGTTGTTTCTGTCTCTATCTCTTTCATTTCTCTTTCTCAACTCTAAACAAATGAAGTATTGAGTATTAGTTGCCATAAACCCAATTTATTCTAATTTGTTTGTCTTATACTTTTTACCTTTCTGTTCAGAGTTTTATATAGCATTGCTTTTCTTAAAGAAAAAATAGATTTTCCTCTGGAAGCATCCCATAGGCCAGTGTTGGCAAACCTTTTAGAGACCGAGTGCCCAAACTGCAACCCAAAACCCATTTATGTATCATCGGGTGCCGGGTGGGCGTGGCCCATTGGGTGGCTGTGGCCAATTGGGTGGACATGGCTGTGGTGGTAACAGCAGACTGGGTGGGACTAAAAAGTTCAATCAGTCAATTCCAACTTTGCGAGATCTTTTTTTTTCCCGTGAGAAGTTGAAATTGATTGATTGATTGAACCTTTTTTTTGCACATGGCGGCAGAGGCCTAAAGCGAAAAGGTTTTATAAAACCCAGCTGAAGGCCTAGGACTGGGGCAATGGCGTGCGTGCCCACAGAGAGGGCTCTGCGTGCCACCTGTGACACTTGTGCCATAGGTTCGCCACCACAGCCATAAGCCTTCTGAGCCCAAAGGCAGAAAGACAAAAAGAATAAGGTGATGGAATGATACAATTGATGAAGTTAATCAAGGAATGGTTTAATAAAAAAAAGAAATAATGGTGCAATGTGATCTTATCCCTGACAAAATTATACTCTTTCAAGTTGTATCGACTTGTTGAGAAATATTTAAGCATCTATTTCCTTAAGAGACAGAATGAGTTAACTCTCAAAAAGCTCAACTTTGTATAGCCAATGTCTTCCATTTTCAAACTAAATTTTAAGTAATGTCCCTCATAATTATCCTGATTAAAAAAAATTGGAATTGTACCAGAGACATGTAATAAGAAACATACGCTTTAGGATTCCATGAAGATCCTAAATGTTGCTGGAGAGTGGAAAGTCAGAGACATTAATCAGCCAATAAACTGATATAGAATTGAGAATATAATATTTTATGGAGTAAGTGGCATTATTTCAAAAAATATAAGGTACTTAATCTGGGGGTCCCAAGTTGCTCTTGCAGAATCAAGAAATAAAAGGGCTAGGACAATCTGTGCCCAGTTTTAGTAATAAACCAGTAGTTCTTTTCTTTGAAGAATGAAAATCTGGCTGCTTCATGCTTTAGTTACTTTATTTAGATTATTATTACATACTTAACAGAAAATTGCCAATGAAATGTTTTGGAACTTGAGCTGGTGAAAAACATGGCTTCTACACACCTACTGTATATATTGGAGTGCCTTTGTAGGATTGATTATATCAAGGTGCTGGCTTTGGTCTACAAACCTGCATACTGAGTTTTTTTGGGCCACCTGAGATACTAATCAGTGAATAGAAAAAGGAAAGTCTTTTAGTTGCAAAACTCAAGAGAAATGAGATTGGTTCACTGCTTGCTTTATTTTTGTACCGCTAACTATTCTAGTTCTGTATTATTACTTATATTTCTCTTCTATATTGTACAGCTTTTATTCCTTTTTTCTTTTTGAATGATTGGATTTATTTTAGTTTTTAATTTGAAGTATTGGTGTTCATATTGTTCACTGATTCTTGTATCTGGGAACTCAAGGGATAGATCTACATATATATTTCCAGACTAATTTTGGTTCTGAGGCTTCATTAACCATGTCTTAAATTTATAAATTTCCAAAACCCACTTCAGAATAGCCAGGTTTGTAATAGAAATGCTTGAGGTTTTAACTTTGCAAATAATACCCATTAAAAAGATAGACTGGAAAACCATGAAGAAGCATGAGAGACGTTTCAAACATTATTGCAGCCCATAAATTTGTATGAAAAATTGCACAAATCATGTGTGCCCTAATCATTTTGCATTGAACATTAGACACTAATTATTCCACATTTCATTAGAGTCATTATTTGCATGCAGAATGCTAGCAGAAGCAAAAAAATTGGGATGCTGCTAAGAATCCAAAGCCCAGTATGAAAGCATCAAGGAAAGGGTAAAACAACATTACTTGCTGGGTTTTGAAGCCATTAATGTGAGCAACAAATTGTGCTTGCTTCTGCTCTCATTTCACGTTGTCCAACTTTTCACATAAGAAATCTTTCCCCATCCAATCTCTTGCAATATCTACACTGAATGAAGATTCTCAGAAGTGTTCAGTGACATTGTGGTGCTATACTCCAATCTGAATGCAGGCAAGGAATAGCTAACACTACCTCCTTGGCATCAAACTCTATTTACACTGAACTGCAGACACCATTGTGATTTCTGCACTCTGGAATTTCTATGGAACAGAAGAGCTTCAGCAACATCCTCCCCCCAGACACTGCAAAGAAGAAGTAAACTGTCCTACCCATCATTTCTCCTCACTGTGGGAATATTATTGAGTAGTGAGGAGTGAGGAGAAAGATGGATATTGATTCATTTGTGAGTATTTTCTCCTCAAAATTTTGCCAGGCAGGTTTTTATGCATGTCCCTTTCATGTGTTTAATGTAAAATGGGTCTCATTCCTGTGGAATCCAACAGGGCAACTTTCATGATCATAAACAGAAGGTTGGTGTATCTGGTCAAAGCTCTTTTAGGTGGGAGGACAGAGATGAGAAAAGATGAGAAGTGGGCAGATGCTTATTTCTTTCCCCAATCAACTTAATCATTCCTTGCCTTTGGAAAGAGAAAGGTTGGATCCTCAAATACACATGCATCTTATCCAACTATTGTTGTGCTGAAATAACAATAATAATGAGAGGGTATATTTTGCTTCATCAACAGCAATTGATCACTAGAATATGCTTCTCATCACTAGTGGGGATCCCACCAGAGTCACTACCTCTGTCACTGCACTGTTTTCCTACTTCATGATTTTTGCAAACTGGGATCAGTTTAGCTTGCCTGATCTATCTTTTAATCTTACATCTGTTCATGTGCAGGACATCAGAAAAGTAATCTAAGCAGGACTATGAGCTGGCAGCCATGGACACAATTATCACTTCTAACTTAGAATTCAAGACCTCAGAAGAACAGCCACACTATAGCTCATGTGGGGATTATGAATGTAGCAGAAACTCTACTAGTGTTTCATTCTGATGTATCTTCCAAAAAGGACACATCTCCCTGCTCTTTAGGAAATTATTTAGCAAGCAACACATTCAGTTCTCAGAATGTGCTATACAAACTGGGAATTATTTGTACAGACTGGTCTGCAGAAGAACTATAATAAAGCAAAGGGAGGCGCTTATTACTGATATCAATACTTCCACTTCTGATACTGATTGGTGACTTTTTGCGGCCTAAAATAGCTTGAAGGTGTGGGTGTGAACCTGGGTAGACATTATAGCTCAGAAAACCAGCTTTCCCGTAGACTTTATTTCCCATCTATTTATTTCAAGGCAATTTCATTCTTACATAGTGAAAAGGAACTTCCACTGAATTCAGTGGGCTTAGTTCTAGGATACTACAGGCTTGCAGTTTGTGATAATGCATAATAGAGTCAGTATTCTATAACTATTGACAAGCTATGATTCTTATTTTATTGGTTTTGTGAATGTGCTTGAACTGATCTTAGGACCAAACTGTATTTTATACTTTTTTTAAAAAAAAAAAAACCTGTGCTTAATATTTTGTTAAGTTTTTGGGAATGAAAGGGGTTTCTTTTTAAGGAAAAAAACCCCCTACATAAACAGTGGCAGCAAACAAAATAAATAAATAAATAAAATAAACAGATGCACCAGTTTCTTGCCAAGAAAACCCTCTCTCTTACTGCTACATGCTGGTGAAGATATTGGTTAGTGAATGTAGACTTTTCAAAGGCCAATAGTAGCCAGCAGTGAGAAAGATTTTCAACAGGAGAATGATGCAAGATTTTGCAGCTACTTTTGTTTAATTTCAAAGCAATTCATGGACACATAAATAAAATATAATTTAGAGCCCCAAATTTTAACATTCATTCCCCCCCCTTTTTTTAAATAACTGGCAGTATTTCAGCAAGTCTACATCAGCAAGCCCTCTTCATAAATTTAAAATAGAATTGTACGTTATGTATCTGCCATAAAAATATAAAAAGAAATGTGACTGCAACTTTTCTAGTTGGTTGTTGCATGAGGTCAGATATAGCAAAACAAAATAAAATACCCCCCCCCCCAAAATAATTTGTCTTCAAATGAAAATAGTTACAGCCATACACTCTTACAAAGTGATTGGTATGTAATCATATATTTGTGGCTCAGAATTCAGAAATTTCCACTGCAGTTAAATTAGACAATGCACCATTGTAGAATGAAAAGGTTGGGATAGTGATTAAGAGACAATGAATGATATATGCCTAATGGGAACATACAGGAAAGGACAAAGGGGAAATCTAGCCATTTGGCATGCAAAGCAGTGCTAATTCTTGTTTAATATACTTTTGAGACTTCTCTCTACTGCTTCATCTAATTCTTCTTCCAACTCTTCCTTCTTGGACATGGCCAGTTTAGACTGGTAATCTTTCACTATTTGGTCTATGTAGGGTGCACTTTGAGTTCCATGTAGCATTAATGTCCATTCTTTCAGGACTCCCTTTTGGGGAAAGATCCCAACAAACCCAACTTCGAGAACCCAAGTACCTCTGGGGTCTTCTCCCCAAGAATGTGTAGTCATGAAAGGCCACTTGTCAAAGCCCACTTTGGAGTCATCATCCCTTGGCCGCCGACTCAGCAAGATGGATTTTGTCCCCATTGGTGAGGTCATGTTGATATTTAAATCCCCTCTTCTCGTAGAGTTCACTGTGATAACTGCTTGAACATGTTCAAGGTAACGGACAAAGTTCTCTTTGCCCTCACAGGCATTTGTCGAAAGTGTCAGAACCAACTTGCCACCAGATGGTATTTTCCTAGGATTTGTAAAGAAAAGCAATGCTGAATACCATGTTTTCCATAGTACTATCAATCAGAAAGTGCAGATTAAGACTTAGAATGCAAATACAGAAAGACTGAATCAAGATAATTAATAGGTGATTTATTTTTACATACACATTTATGTAACTATCCAAACTCACACATAGGTAGCTTACAACATTAAAAAATCATCATATAATAAAACTCAGAAGAAAAACCACTTCTCATCTCTGTTGGCATCAACAGCACAATCAAATCAGCCATTCGACTGGCTGTCTCCATTTGTGATCTCCAGGCCCTCTGACAAAACCATGTTTTTACAGCTTTGTGGGATCATGAAATTATGTGCTTGCCTTTTCAGGTCATAACTGGTTTATAGTATTCTATTTGTTATGTAAGTTTGTAATGAGCATTCCTACAAAGAGCATCTTGGGCAGATCCAAACTTTCTGCTTGACCCATTACCAATATAGCCACATCACTGAGTGTAAAAGTGAATGTTGTCATCCTATTCTTACTCCCAGCTGGATACAAATGCATATTGTGCCTATATTTTCCAGCTGTGATTCAGGTATGCTATTTTCTACCTGAGCCATACTTGACCAGGAAGACATCCTGAAAAACTGAACTTCAGAGATGACTATAATACTGTGCTTTCAACGTCTTAGTCGCAACAAAGGAATATTGACAGAAATGATGCTCGTTTGTTGCTGCTGTTGTTTTTACCAACACCGGGAAAAAGACTGGGCAAAGCATCATAGATTATGATCCAATGTGAAAGAAGATTTATTGGAAAGGACATTAAGACATTCAGATTCTGCTACATTCCAGCTAATACAATGCAAGGACTACAGCTTTCCTACTTTCTATCATCAGTTTTTGGGTGAGGAGGAAGAACTATTTTCTGATTTTTTGGAAGGTGTAAATGAAGACAAGCAAAATAATAATTGGGTTTCCCTGATGGAAAAAGCATGCCCTTTTTATTTCCCATGGGTCTTGCATATTGAAATACACATAGAAAGCTGCTTGGTATAGTGCTTTGAGAATTCCTACCTGGTAATTTTTCATGAAATCTATTTTCTGCTATTAAAAGTGTGGAATGTAGCACCAAGCTCTTTTTCAGAAAGCATTTCTTGACACTTTTTGGTTCAGCCAATCATATTGGCTTTATATCCAAAGGAAAATGCCATGTAATTGCCAAACTGGCTTTAATACTCCAATTTTCTCCTTCTAAATAAGAATGGGTAATCTGAATCATATTGAATAACCCTGTTCTTTATTCCTACGTGTGGGAAATTAGTGAAGGATAACTAATCCATTGAAGTGAGGAAACAGTTTTGTAAGTTTAAATTGGATTAAAGACTCATCAGTACAGATGTTTACTGTGGATCAAACCTTCCTCTTATAGACAGCCCACAGCTGAGGCAGACTGAAGCTGGGTCAAAGTGTTTTGGCATGAAATTAATGCTTTTTCTGGGAAAATGAAAGATCTCTCATCCAGACAATCTGTGGCACATGGAGAAGGAGGCTTAAATGACACAATTGAGGGCTATGATTTGCTTGGTTATAGCCCGACAGGTCTGCCCCATTCTCTTCAGTGTGGGGGTTTGTCACCAATCCTGCAGTGCTGGTTTGGCTGCAAGTCAGACAAGAAACTGACTACTACATTGCTTCCTTTTTTCTGTCTTTTTTTTTTTTTTAAGAGATGGACCTAGAAACTGGAGAATCTGAAATTGATTAGCCCCTCTTCAGCCTAACACATGCAACTGAAGGACTTGGCTCTTGGGCTTCTAGCACCGGCTGAGCTGACTCCTCCCTTCTTCTCTTTATTGAATCTTGTTTTAAAAGGCTTAATCTGCCACATAATGTCACTTGGCACATGTATGGCTTCGACATATACATTTTTCCTCCGCTACCTTTTGAAGACTCAGTTTGGTGCAGTGGTTAAGGCATCAGGCTAGAAACTGGGAAATCAGCAGTTCTAGTCCCACCTTAGGCTCAAAGCTAGCTGGGGGACTTTGGGCCAGTCACTCTCAGTCCTAAAAAGGGGGCAGTGGTAAGCCACGTCTGAAAAACCTTGCCAAGAAAAATGCAAGGACTAGTTCAGAAGATCACCCACACAGAAACACCTTTTGAAGAAGATAATGTAACAAACTATGTATGCTGTGATTTGACACAAACATCTGTGTAGTAATGTTTCAAACTGCAGCTTTTCAACCATAGTCATCTGTCTCAACTACATAAATCCAGGCGACCACTAAAGGGCATCCAGGAGAGACAAACATTCTAACTTGATGTTGAATCTTAATGGCTAATAGATTGATAGATTGATAGTCTACCAGGTCAATAATTGTGTTGGAAAAAATATGTCGATCTGAGATTACCCCATAGCTGGTGAGTTTTCTCTCTTATACAGAACACCTTTCCTGAATTTTGGTTTAAAGTGTTCATTCAACAACTGTATCCGGACTACCCAAATTCAGCCAGCATCTTCACTACAACTAAGAAAGCTGTAATTTTTTGCTGCCAATGGGCTGACAGGTAGATGATCCTTTGAGGGGCAAAAGGAAAGAAGGGAGGGATTGGCTGAAATATCACGTCAGAAGACATTCTGTAATATAATTGGTTTTAGCTTTTCTAACAGTTGATGTTTAAATTTCATCCAGAGAAAACCACCAAACACTTGCTCTCAAAGCACAGCATAGTCTTATTCCTATGGGGCAATGTAATTTATGTCAGTGTGATTTCTTCCCAGCTACAGGATGAAACGAAAGCACAGCAAAAGATCTATGCAAAGTTCTAAGACCCATATGTTTATTGTTACTTACTGAGGCTCTTGGACTGATCCACCTACACAATGAAATCTCTCTGGAACTGTCTTCCAGTCTTTAGCCATTGTAACCATTGCCCCAGCATCTAGGACCCCATAGCCAAACAAGTGGTTGAATTCAAGGCCAACTCCATTTCTTCTCCACTTGTGAACTTCATCATGAAGCTGGTTCCTTTTGGATGTGAGCACAGTCAAATGTTGCAAGTCCCTCCAAGTCAGATCCACACTGCCAGAGAGAAAAATAGAGAGAGATGACAACTTTAGAAAATCTACTTTGACAAAGACAATTATAAATATCAGACAGTTGCTAGGCATATACTGTATAAGCAAAACTTTTAAAGATAGAAAGGATTCATTTTTAAAGCTCAAAGAATCATCATAAGGAGAGGGCAAATTCTTCCATTCATACACTTGCCCTTCATTTTAAGATGTGCAGAATGTGCAAACTAGATTTTTTTGAAAATGTTGTCTGCAGCATCTCTCTTCCACCAGTATTACCACCATTGTTATCCACATCAGGCTACCCTTCTCCTTTGATTTGCTCTTTGCTTAATACTTTAACAGTTGCCTTTCAATAGCTGGTCCTAACAAAGATTCATTTTGGACTTTCTCAGAGCTGTGTTTTTCAAAGAAAGATCTGCATTATGATCAACCCTATCTTGGCAAAACCAAACAATATGAAAATTGCATTCAAATATATTTGAATGTCTAGAGGGTCATTTCATTCATCTGTCTTCCTCTCACTACCTTGAAAGCTCTAACAATGTCTTATGGTGAACACATTCTGATTTAACAATCAAAGATAAAGTACTCTGCAATAAAAACAATACACTTTTTAAAATGCATGGTTCTGTGGATAAATAATAGCAGTACTATATAAGCAGGTGCTTCTGCCTGGGATGGGGGAAGAAAATTCACAAAATGAGTATAATGCCATTATTTAAGTCCTGCCCCTTTTGTATGCATGACAAGTCTTGGATTATGACATAATCTTGCAGATGTTGACACGCTCCCTGCAGATGACAATGAAGAGAAAATAGAAGTTTTAGATAGACAGAGATAGATACAGATATATATTGTAGATAGACATGGGACAGAAGATGGTAGAAGTTAGACGATAGATAGATAGATAGATAGATAGATAGATAGATAGATAGATAGATAGATAGATAGATAGATAGATAGATAGATAGGCAGATAGGCAGGCAGGCAGGCAGGCAGGCAGGCAGGCAGGCAGACAGACAGGCAGGCAGGCAGGCAGACAGACCGAGACTGTAGTAGATTTTGCTTGAATCAAACTATCTGAGAAATGTTCTGCCCTATTCTTAGAATACTTTGACAGCTGATTTTTCAGACCTCAACCACAGAGGCACAATTCCCTACATATTCAATAAGTGTGCTAGAAGACTGTAGAAAGCCATACAGTGTATTAAGAAAATATACACAACTAAAAGCAATCAAGGTGGAAATAACTAAGTCATGGTGGGATGGAATGGGAGGAGAGAGATCTTTAAGAGACCATTGTGCTAAAAATGCATTAGAGAAATCAATGCCTCTTCAAGAATAAGTGCCATCTTCCATGTACCTCCTCTAAAGTTAACCTAACTGCTTTCCAACAAATTAAGCCCTCTTGATGAGTTTCAAGAATATGTGCAGGAGAAAAAAAGGCTATAATGGAGTAAATTGCATGGAAAGTGGTTTCAGATTCTTCTGTCAATACATGAAAATCAAGAGATATAGAAGCAACCTGCATGGTTTAAAATCCTTTTAAAATCTTTTTTTTAAAAAAAATAAAAATAAAATCCTTCTTCTCTTTGCACTCTTTCTGAAAAACATAAAACAGGCTTCTACGTGCAGCCTGCTTTAGATAGCAATTGATGTTCAGTTCATGCAGGCTGGGTACCAAGCCATTGAGTGGAGTTATTTTCATTTATAACAAAATAAACAGATGGCTGCTTTCACCCACTTTGCTTCCAGGGCCAGAGCAAACACTCCCGCAGCCTCTGGGGCAGCTGCAGATGTTCCTGAGTGGCGTAATGTACAGTTGCCATATAGATCTGTTGTAGCCTGCAACAAAGTACAACAAACTTAATTAGATAAGTGATACTTGAGTCCTCAAGGTGTATAAAGAGATAAATAGAGGTCAAAAAGAATAATCACTTCTTCCTGAGGGTTCATTTTCTTTTGTTTTTTTAGTTTCTTGCTTTTTGCCTTCTGCAGCTTCTTGTCTCCAGGCCATCCTCCAAGACTGTCAGGTCACTGTCAGTTCCAGCTCCAGGGTTTGTCAACCTTGGCAACTTCTAGATGTGTGGATTTCAGCTCCCAGAATTCTCCAGCCCACATGGAAAATATGGGAAGTCCACACATCTTAAAGCTGCCAAGGCTGATAAACATTACTCTAGAGCAGAGGTGTCCAACTTGGCAACTTTAGGATTTGTGGAACTTCAACTACCAGAATTCCCTGCTAGTTGGAGAATTATTGGGTTTGAAGCCCACAAGTCTTAAAGTTGCCAAGATTGGATTCCCTTGCTCTGGAGCACATTTTTCGGAGACGTATTTTAGGATAAAGCTGGGTAAAGGAGGATTGCCATATATCATGTCTCCCAACTTGCTCTTAATGGCAACTTCCTGTGAATGAATTCCATTCATGGGAATTATGGATAAAATTCACCACATTATAACATCAAGGATTTTTAAATGAGGATTAGAACTGGATAGTTTTCTCAGGGTTGAGGGCCACAAGTCACTCTCCATTATCTGAAGGGCTGCATCTGGTGTTATTCAAATGCTGATGACACCAGAAAGAAGCAAGGCTAAATTTTGTGCTGGTATAGGACACAAATAGACTATTCCAGAATAGCAGATCCTGTTTATCACGTGGTACATTTGTTTGTTTTTATTACATAATCACTACAGAGTGATATGTTATGAATCTTTTTGAATAAGTTTCTTAGGTAAACCTAAGAAATCATGAAATTGGCAACAGTATTTCTATATCTTTATCAGGATATCCTTATCTCGACATTGTTTGTTACAGATAGAATCGAAGACCGACTTCTATGAAGACTTTTTCTTCCATAGTTTTTTTTCAACATATGGCTAATAGGCTGTGCAAGAAATTGGAACATGCAAAAGTAGGGCCTGTGTGCAAATTCTTAAACTAAATGTGAAGCTGGACAATTCAGTGAGGAGGGCATTTGTTTGCAATTCCTTAAAATGCCTTTTCCTAAGATAGTGAGCAACTATTCACATGCATTACAGCCAGATGATTTCCAAGTTTACAATTAAATGCTTTTTAATGTTATAACATCTGTACAATTAGTTAACATTTTACTAAGTACATATTTAATTCCCATATCTAGTTTTGCTTAGTTTTAAAACTGAACTATTGTACTAAATATATTTGCATATATAGACTGACATTAATTGCTATCTGATACCAACTTTGTGCATTTTCTCAAGTACAAAAATACAAAAAAGCAAATTCTTGAAAATCTTTATTCAAAACAGAATTAAAGTTATAATTCCTCAGATTATAACTAAAATGTCACCAACCATCTGTTGAGTAGAGAAATGAAGATTGGCTTGCTTGATTTTCATAAAGGATTCATGACCTTTCCATGTTTGTCTTCTCACTAAATAATGAGACTCTCCAAAAGTAAATCTCCTTTCAGCCAGACTTTTATTAAAGAACTGACTTTTATTCAGTTCTTTCATTAAACAGCAGTAAAATAGAATTTTTCTCATCTAGTGTTGTTTCCTCGAATTTTCAAAAATTATTGGGTAGATATTAGGGAAGCCATTATTTATTTATGAGACTTATATACCGCTTTAAGTGCAAGCACTCTCTAAGCGGTGTACACCAGTAAGCAATGTATATATATATATTTACATTGCCCCCAACAATCTGGGTCCTCATTTTACCTACCCCAGAAGGATGGAAGGCTGAGTCAACCTTGAGCCGGTGAGATTTGAACCGCTGACCTGCTGAACAGTCAGCTAAAGTGGCCTGCAGTACTGCACTCTAACTGCTGTGCCACCTCCATTCAGTGGATCAGCTGAATGAAGACAAACTAATAAAATGTACAAAGGTATATATATATATATATATATATTTGTATAATTGTTCCACCTACCACACCAGCTTCAGGATTTCTCTTTCTCCCATTGCTAAAAGTAGAAGCTAAAGTTGAGGAACAACTTTCATCATATAAAGCTGTCCGCCCATCATTAATAGCTGAATTGATGGAGATAGTCCACATGCTTGATGCATAGCCATCACAATTACAGTCATCATAACTTCCTCCATCTCCAGAGGCCCAGACATAGATACTTCCCTTGCCGCCACGGCCCTGCCGAACAGGTAAATCCAGGCAATCAGTTTTAGTCATTATATGTAAAAAACAAACAAACAAACGAACAGTGATAGAGGTATTAATGTGGGAAAAAGTAGTTTCAGGTGGAATCCTCTGGTCTTTGAGAGTGTTGTCAATTACCTGGTAAATCAGATGTGAGCTTCAGTCTCAGTTTTCATTTTCAAGACTATGAAACTGTGAGTATGGAAGTTCTATCAAAAGTGTTAGTCGTAGAGGGGAGGATAAGGTATAAAGGATCCTAAATGTCATCCCAGCTCTCCTGGGTGAGCAGGAGAGAACAATTTAGATAATAAATGTCTTCCTTCCATTTTCAGCCCTGGAGTAACTGGGCAGACTTGTACGGGTAAAGCACATTAACAAATGGATAGAAATGCTCTGCTCGTACAGATAAAACACACAATTACTCAAAGTGATAAATTACTGAATTGTTTACATTTCTGTTTTAAAGATTTTCTCAGCCAATTTCACAATCTGTTGTACTCCCATTTATCAATATACTTACTCAGCTGCTGAATTTTTTTTTCTCACAGCAGTGAACTAAGACGGCCCAGGGAGATCAATGCAGGGAATAATAGAAACAGGACTTGCCCTTTGTAACAATAGAAAGAAGTCCACTTCACTTCCCAGGTTACTTGTTTCTCTTAACAACTGAGGACAATTAAAATCTTAAACTCTGACACATACTTGAGACAAGTGGGAGCTTTCTTCCCACTCCAGATAGCAGATCTGTGACATCCAATTTAGATCAGGACCTTAGAAGGAAGGACAAATAATTTAACTCTCTAAAGCTATTGAGATTCAATCTACTTCCTAGACAGACAGATTGTATTTTTCTATTTGAGCAATCAGATAACCTTCAGCATCATTCTCCTTTTCCTGAGGAACCAAATTTGTAAGGGATGATTGGAGCATTAATTCAATCACAGAAGCCAGTCTGTAACTTACATAGGTTTGTGGTACAGCTACATCTCTGTACTATCACTGAATGAAAAATCAGGTCTATAGACTTTCACAAGGAGTCTCACTGAACACAATTTAAACTTTCATAGGGTTATGCTGTTATCGTTCAGCCCTTCGGCAATTGGACTGCAAGGAGTCCTCGACTTACGACCACAATGGAGCCCAAAATTTCCATTGCTAAAAAAGGCAGTTAAGTGCGTTTTGCCCCATTTGTCACAGTTGTTAAGCAAATCCCTGCAGTTGTTAAGTAAATTGTGCAGTCCTTAAGCAAATCTGACTTTCCCCTATTGACTTTGCTTGTCAGAAGCCATCTGGGAAGGTTACAAATGGGGATCACATGACCTCCCAGGACACTGTGACTATCAAAAATGCACGCCAGTTGCCAAGTGCTTGAATTCTGATCATGTGACCACGGGGATACTGCAATGGTTGTAAGTGTGAAAAACGGTCATAAGCCGCTTTTTATAATGCTGTTGTAACTTTGAATGGTCCCTAAAAATGGTTGTAAGTTGAGGACTACCTGTATGAACAGTATGTCTCATTCTAACTCTGCTTCTCTGATTTATTCTAAGGTTAAAATGTGGGACTGGTGGAATACATCATTTAGTTTTCAACGAAGAAAATTTAAGCCGCGGTACACATAAACAGTAGCCAGTGGGTGAGTCTCAGTCTTTCAATGTTTTGCTTCACTTCAGCATCTTCAGGTTGAGACCACATAGGACGGGGAAGTCATATTTTCCTTATTCATAGATAAAACAGGGACGGGGGAACAGATTTTTAAAATATTAGAACAGAGGAGAAGGAGGAGAGTTGCCCAATCTTCCTCCCTGTCACCTCCACTTTTCTCTCACCTTTAATAGTCAAACAAGCTTTGCAAAATAATAAATAAATCATAAGGCCTTGTATTTATTTGAAACTGTTATCTGGTTTGTTCCCTCTCCCCCACTTTTTCCCCCAGCTGTACTGCCAACTTGGTTCGATGTTTGCAGTGTTTTAATATTAGAGTCAAGCCAACAGATAAGAAAACATCAATTGCAGGAAAGAGTTCTGATCTCCTTATATGTTAAAAGGTATTCTGATAGAAAGATAAAGTTTACGCCACAATTATTTCTGTTAGGCGTTATTGAAGATTGTGATGTTAAAGAAATTAATTTGATGTTGAATCTTATAACAGCTGCAAGATTATTGGTCGGCAATATTGGAAGAAAGATTCTTTGCCCACTATGGAAGAATGGACTCTTAAGGTGTCTAATTTAGCAGAAATGGCGAAAATTTCTGCTTATTTGAAGGACCATTCACAAGAAAGATATATTTCGGTTTGGAGAAGATGGATAGACTATATTCAAAATAAATATGGGAATAAAAAGTTTCATTTACTTTTTGAATAATGAGTATTATTATTATTAATACTATTATTATTATTATTATTATTATTATTATCATTATTATTATTATCATCATCAATAGTTTATTATAGTGAATTTTTATTATATCGAATTGTTTAAGAATTAGGATATTAATTTGTTTATGTATTATGCTTATTTAGAATTTGTTTATTTTTGTTAAAAGGGAGTTAAAGTGTATTATGGATTTGATTTTTATATAGTTGGTTAATGTTATTTAGATTATGACTGTCATATTTGTAACCCTGTATTCAGCTCTCGGAAGTGTGGGAGGGGGAGGGGGTGAGGGGGTTTGGGGTTGTTTTGTTGTAAACTTTTGTAAAACTTTTCAATAAAAAAAAGGTATTCTGATAGGCACATCTAATTGTAAAAGAATCCCAGTCTCAAGAAAAGTATCATCAGATAGCTAGTTTTGTAATCTACTATGTAGAGCAATTCTAGTAGCGACAAGGAACATAAAAATATGAAGAGGACCCAAGAGATGGGTTTTCCAAACAACATGGGGCAAATATGCCTTCAACTCTTCCCTTTTGCATTGGCAGTTTCCAAGCCTTGATAAAGCAGTAGCAGATCCAACAAAAGTCAATGTTAGAATGACGAACTAGTCCTGAGTCAATCTTTCTATTAGTCAAAGCAATAAGAATATGTTTCAGTTATTTGTTATCTCTTCTTTGGAGTCTCTTTTGTTCCAAAATCATGAACAAGCTTTTAGGACCATCACCTTTTTGGCCATGCTTTTCTTGAAGCCAGGAGGAAAACCATTACTCTTCTCCCTTTTAAATCCCTTTCAGCCTCATTTTTCACCTCTTTTCACTTCCCATTTCCCCAGACTGCATTACTTGGATAAGCAATACTTTTACCTCAGGTGTAAATTACTGTAAAAGGAGGAAGAAACCCACCTTTTTTTAATCTCTCTCTCCATCAATAGCTAAAATCATTTAAACAATTTTAGAGATATCCAGCACTGATATCTCCACTCTCAGCATGGCTTTTTTTCCTGACCCCAAAGAGAAAACCTCTCTGAGCTATCAAGAGATCAGATGACCCCAGCAAATAATCAACTTGAGCCTATCCTGTATGACTGTCAAGCAGGCAGAAACCTGTCAGAATAATTTACTGAGTTGGATACACAAATGACCAGGCTCAAATTGTCATATTTAGGACACATTATGCAAAGACTTAATTCTCTGAAGAGGTCTATAATGCTGGGAAATGTGGAAGGAAATGGAACAAGAGGCCAACCAGCAGCAAATTGGATGGACTCTGTTAGAGCAGCAATGGGTATAGCACTGGAAGATCTGAAAGAACAGGTTGGGAAAAGATTAGCAGCCACACACATAGATGTCCTCTATGATGAACTGCCCCTAACCTTGTTGTTCAGGTCTTCCAGCTGTTCACTCATTACTACTGTAACTGACTCCATCCACCTTGCTACATGTCATACTCTTCTTCTCTTTCCTTATACTTTTCCCAGCATTAGAACTTTTCCCAGAGAAGTAGATCTTCACATGGTGTGATTGAAGTAGAATAATGTGAACCTGGACATTTGTGTCTCTCATGATCATTCTGGATTGATTTGTCCATTGATCCATTTCTTTGTTTTCTTTGCTGCTCCATGGTATTCTGAGACGTCATCTCCAACAGCAAAGTTTAAAGCCATCAATATTTTTCCTAACCTACTTCTTTAGAGTCCAATTTGTGCTTCCATAGATTGTTACAGGAAATACCATACAATATCTTTGTAGACATAGACACATCCAGTAGCCGAATATTTTTTTTGAAGGGCTTCACGATTGTTCTACCAAGTTCTGTTATCAGTATTTGCTCCATATAATTATTAGTCAGAAACACATGAAGGTGAAATCTGAGTGGAAGATTGCAGTATACAATCTAAGAGGATGTTGTAAGATGGATATATCTAGATCACACACACACACACACACACATACATCTGAGTTGTAAAACAATCACAAATCCTAATAAACAAAACAACTGAGATTTTAAGAAATTGTAATTAAATAAATGAAGAAAGAAGCATTTTAGTGGCCTCCTGATATGGAAATTAACTTACGGGTACTATATATGATCTGAAAACATCTGGATGGTCACCAGATGGCAGCAAAGAGATACAGAAAAATAACTCTGCTTATGAAGAGCACAGTCCCATATGACATCTTAAAAATAAGTCCCACTGACGTCACGTTTCTTAAGCATACTACCCATGGCCTTTACCTTTCATTATTTTTTACTGCAAGAATTAGAAATAAAAAATCAGGTTACTTCTAACTCTTGCAACAAAAGAAAAAAAAGTAATGATTCTCATTTTAAAAATGCCCATGCTTTTCCTTTCATCAGAAAATCCAATTACAGTGCCATGATTAAATTATAAATTCTTAATGCTTCTCCTTAGGTAATCATTTCTACCTTCGCAGAATCTGTGTCCTTTAGGCAGAGCCAAGTTATTGAAGCAATATAATGTTCCCTAGCACTACCCCCAAATGCGTGGATAAGGAGCAGATCACAACTAAAATAAATGAACTGGGTCTCCAAAGGCTTTCCTTTAAATTGGACTGGCCAAAGGCAGGGGGCAGATAGCTAACAGCTTAGTTAACTATTTTTAGAAGGACAAATAGAAACTGGAAACAAGCAGTAATGAAGCCAGACATATAAATGAAGACACAAGAGAAACCAATGTGCCAATTTTTGGTGCCTTGTTAAACTGCTCATAAGCAGCAAGATTTTTAAAAGAGGATTACCAGTGCAATTGTCATTATTTCTTCCCTAAGGCCCATGGCATTTTCCCCTCTTCATGGACATTAACCTATTAAATCAATTTTTCTTAACCTGGTGCCTTATAAAAGGGCTGGATTAGGACTCCTAGAATTTTTAGCCATTATGAAAATTTGATCACATGATGAATATATAAGTTAAATAAGTGGTTGCATACATTTTTTAAAAAAAAATGTTTAAATCAATGAAGGGCTATCTGTCACATGTGGAATATCTTCTAGCTACAGTACTTCTCAAGCTTGGTAGAAGTATCTGCCTTAGTTTATTATGACTGAAGGAGAAGAGAATGAAGGATTTCATTTGTAGTTACATCTTAATAGTGGGGAAAAAAGGAAGTGGATAAGTTTTGATTAGGAGACTTCCTGTGTCCTGAGAAGGCAAAAAGTGGGATTGGTTCAGCCTTATGCTTCACTCTAGCCTAGCCAGGCAGAAGAGGCAAGCTTGGTGTGACTGGAAAAAACATTGGACAACAGGATATCGATTGTGTTACATGAAGAGGAAGAAGTGGTAGACAACATGTAAAGAACCTCTGAGAGGTCTGTTACTCTCTGAAATCTTGTGTGGGGCAGGAGATACTACCCCTCTGACAATGAACTCCAAACAATGGAACTCATTATAAATCTCCAATGTTCCTTTCCCAGCTATGATATGTCACTTTGAAGGTAGGAAAGGAAAACAGGTGCTCCCTTGAACAGTTCCTCCTAATTTGTTTTCATCCTCAACATCTACCACATAATACTCATATTTCATGAAATAATTGAAATCCTTGTTATTGGCCATGGTCTTTGTTACAGTTTTGTGCACTTTCAGGATCAGTTTTTTCTGAAGCCTCTCCAATCAATTCTTCTACAGAAAATTATTTGGATGAGTGCTACTCGGAGAACGTAGGTGAGCATGCAGCTCCTCCCATACACTAGGCTGACTTCTCTGACATCATTTCTTCCTGTGTTCCAAGCATCCTGGTAACGACTGAGGAAATGGTGAGATTTT